CTTCCCTACAGGATTCCTAAAAGTATTCACCATAAGAAATGTATTATGGGCTGGGGATGTGGCTCAAGCGGTAGCGCGCTCGCCTGGCATGCATGCGGCCCCAGGTTTGATCCTCAGCACCACATACAAAGATGTTGTGTCCGCCAAGAACTAAAAAATAAATATTAAAAATTCTCTCTCTCCTCTCTCACTCTCTCTTAAAAAAATTTAAAAAAAAGAAATGCAATATGTGAACACAATAAATTATATCCTATGTATCTAAAGATTAAGAATATAGTCACGCACATCATTTTTTGCGAAGCTTGGTTCTCTTGCAGAACCTCCATTGAGAAAAGCTCCTCAATATTTGTTCACTCTAATGAATCACACTATGCAAAATTTGACTGTTTCTTCAAACTAAAGTTATGTTGGGCAAAAAATAGTCACAAGAACAATGCTCCAGCATGCTCTAGGGGGAAAAAAGTAAAGCAGTGTTTTAGAATAAATTGTGGGAAATTTTGTAATTTCATACTAGAAGATGAATTGGTATCATGGATAAACACAACCAGTTGAAACTGTTTCTTCATTCAGTACTATTTTGTGATATTATTTACATGTTCCCAACCATGTAAAATACAGAAAACTGTTAAGGAACTAATACTGTCTAGATATGATCTGCAAAAGTATTCTATTCAATCATAAGTGAACCATTAAAACTATTGAATTAAGTATGCATCTGCCTTTCTTCCCTTCAACTTCTTCTGCCTTAACCCTGTGTACATTACTCATCCACAATAGGTTTGGTTAATACAATTAAATGGAAATATTAGAATGTTATTGGTTATAGGTTCTATAAAAACACATATCTAAGTTTGTTCTAAAGAAACAGAGGTGACATACTGAATTCCTCCAGTCATTGGGACAAAATATGTTTTACCCATTTAATTAATACCAAAAAAATGTAATGTTCACCAAAGTTCCATAACTAGTAGCACCATGTTGTTATCTAGAGGAAAATGAAGTTCCTCAGTCTCCCATATCATATATCTTTAGAGCAAAGGTATCATCCTTGCTAATCCCAACCTATAGATTTTTGTCAAGAAGGAATTGAAATAGAACAATATTACAAAAAGTTAATATTAAATGGAAAGGACATTAGAAGTCAAATGAACTTGACATTAAGGAAAAGTATATTGCCCAAATAAATAACCAGTTTACAACTTGCAAAGAATGGTCCTCTTAGCTGCTTCATTAGAAGTGGCCACCTTTGGGAGGTTTGAGTCCTCGTTATTTATGAGTTATGTGTCACAATTTTGAGTATCTTAGCCCATTGTTAAGTTAGACACAGATCCTATTCATCCAGTTTTACTTTGGATAATAAATAAAAATAAAATACAGTTATGCCTCAAAGAATCAATAGAAAAACTGAAAGTGGAATGTGTGGGGGAACTTTGGCAAATCCTACACTTGCAGCCTTGAGGGTATTTTGGCTGTTTTCAATGCATGACAAACCTGCCTTCACCTGGAAAAAAATGGGCCAATGTTCCAAGAAACTGGTACCAACAAGCCCTGGATCATTCAACTAATAAAAGATAACTAGAAGAAGGTACAATATGGGATGGAAACAAACACATGAGATTCCTCTACATTCATACAGGATCCTTTCTGATATTTATATTAGAGAACAGAAGAAGTTCACATCTCAGTTCCTTACATGAAAAAGGCAATAAATTTGATTTGATGTCTTCACTATCAGTTGTTTCAGATATAAGGGAAAGTGGTTACTTTATTGAAGTAAAGATGTGTCCAGGCCACAACTATAGGCCATGTCCAAAAAGGCATTCCATTTAACAGTTCCAAGACTGGGGTCAGAGATGAAGACATATTGCCTTCATTGCTTATAGTTTAGAAATTTTGAAAAAAAATAATAAAACACCAGTAAATAACAGAATGTGAGGTCATATCTATTAATAATAAATGTTCCCTCAAATTCACAAATGTATTTGATACCTACTCTTGTAAAATACTTACTATAAAATTATTTGCATTAATTATTTCACTTTTCCTGTGGGTCAAAAGTTCAGGCAGATTTTAGTTGGGCCCTTGGTTCTGGGCCTTCACAGAACTGCAACCAGCAGGCTGCATCCTTGAGACTTGATGGTAAGGATCCTCTTCTAAGCTCACTTAGACCGAGCGAGGAATTAATTTATTGCAGTTATAAAACAAACTGAGGGCCCCATCTTTTGGTTCTGTATCTGTTGGAGGCTGTTCTGTACTCCTAGGGGCCGCTTGGGGTTTCATAATGTAGCTATGAATTGCTTCGTTAATTCAGCCACAAGACTCTCCAGTATGCTCGTAAAATAGAGTCTTAGCATAATCACAGACACATCATCTCTTTGCTATATTCTGTTTCTAGAAGGAAGTTACATGTACCTCAAAAGGATTGTACAAAAACATGAGCACCTATAGGCAGGGGTTGTGCTCAGGGACCAATTTAGAGTCTGTCGGCTATGGTTGACTGCTGACCTTTCATGTGAAAAATCCATTCACTCTCTGCCAAGGTCTTCAAGAGTATTAACTCATTAGCAACATCTAAAAATCCAAACTTTCATTATCTAAATCAGGTATAGGTATGGATGAGTGGGGGTAAGTCTAACTCCTAGAGTAACATTTCTCTTGATCTATGGATCTGTGAAACAGAAGACAAGTTTTACACCCCCAACACTCTCAACATTCAGCAGTAGGATAGAACAGGATAAAAGTTGTCAATATTCCTATGCAAAAAGAAGGGAATGGAAGGGATACAAAGGAGTTATTTGTTCATAGAAATTCTGAAATCTAGCCAGACTAATACTAGGAGTTCCTTATTAAGATTTAAGATCTGGGATTAATTCTCCGTGACTCTATCTGTCCACTTTATTTTCCTTACTTTTAGCTCCAATTTGGGACAGGATTTCCTTTTATGTTAGCACAGATGGGGCCTAAAGTTCTAAATTTACGTGGTTCTTAATCCCTTCCATCTCAGAAAAGAACCCATCTTTCTTTAGAGTTCCAGCAAGAATCTATCTGGGAGGGTTCGTTTGGCAAACTTGGATCCCATGCCAATCCTTACATTAAATACTGTGGCTTAGATGATATATACGATTGGCCACCATTGACCAGATATTTATCTCTAGAATTTAGGATTAGTCTTACTAGAACTTGGTAAAATTCTAAAGTCCACTATCTGTCCACTTAAAAATGTTTACTGGTATAACACAGAAAATGTTATAGTACTGCATTATGAGGGAAAGATTTTCAGATTTGGCTCCAAGCAACCAAAATTTCATGTGTGTGTAACTAATATTCTAATTTCTGCTCCAGTCCCTCCCTTTCGACTCTTTCACTTGTAAATAATTAGTACTCTCATTTCACCTTCACACATCTGCTATGTGTTGACATAATCCCTCCTTATTCCCCAGTCATCATTATCACTGAGAAAGAACAAAGAGAGACAACCTCTACACAGTATCTCCATTAGAGAAGGATTATTCAATGCAGGGAATTAATTTGAAGGAAACAACCCCCACCCCTAGCAATGTTTGAAGTGAACTTTTAATATTCATGGACACCAAGACAGGACTTTTACAATCGGACCCTGAGATTAGAAAACAACATCCCACAACAACACCATAGGATACAGTGGACCAGCAGATGTGGAGTAGTGGAAACATACAGGTCATGATCAAAACAGAGACTATCCCCTCAGCTACACTGATTAGATGTTAAGCTACTATCAGAAAATCACCAATTGATTAGTATGCACATTTTTTATTAAATGGATCTATCTCCAAGTAAAAATGCAAATACTTCTCCTACCAAAAGTTTTAATTAATAATTCTCAAGTTTTTTTTTCTTTTTTTTTTTTTTTTTTTGTCATAGTTGTCCTGGGTGACTTGTTTAGTAAATCTCACTTTGGTTTTACAGTAAAGATTCTGCTGCCAGCACAATAAAAACTAGTTGCTTCCCTTATAGAAAGCTAGCCAAACAATCTTTCTTTGAGAGCAAATGTGTTACATATTTCACATAGGCATGAACAGCTCTGGGGATTGAAAAAAAAAAAACTTGTGGAAGAAAACCCAAACAACAGTTGCCTATGATGTCTTTGAAGGTATTAGTGGAAAATACTAAAATGTATGAAACGTGGGTTTCTTGAAGGGATTTTAAATATTCATTGTATATCTATTATCTATCCTTTTAGCCTGATTTGCTCCTTCTTATCTTTTAGGCCCATTGGAAAATGTCACCTTCTTAGAGAAGCCTGAACCATCCTATCCAAACTTGTTCTCTTTTTTGTGTGTCTAAAACTTGTTTTCTTGATAGAACTCATCACAATTCACAACTGTGATATTTGTTAGTTTACCTGTTTACCCAATGTTTCTCCTACCAGACCTTAAGCTCCACGATGCAGGGCCCACCTCATCTTGATTACCACATTTTCCATAATTTCTAACACGGTGTCTGGTGTATTGCAACCTTTAAAGACTATCTGCTGAATAAATGGAAAGGATACCAGACTCAAGAAGATGGGCCTTACTATTATAAGGGAGGTGAGCAAGAAATTTTTTTCTTCCTATGGTGACACGAGGTGAAAGAAATGGTCTTTGCCACACTGAATCAATAAAATGAGTGGACATAGTGGCTATAATAGTTGACAATTTCAACATTAAAAGTTCTCTAAGTATTAAAGCTTAAATTTAGGGTGCTTAGAATTTTGTCATTTTTTAAAATGTTATAGAAATAGAATTTTGGCCTAAAAAGCAATGATACCAAAACATTAAATAGAAACATTTAATTCCCTTTTGAGTGTGTGTCAAATTCAATACAAATCAATAAAGCATTTTTCTAGGCTGAAAGGAACCAGTGTTACATTTTGAAGGCAACTGATTGCAAAAAAATATATAATCTACACTAAACTTTATTTTTAAAAACAACTTTAAGATCTTATTCTATAGTCAATGTATTGTAATAATGATGTCTTCTTTATAGCCCAAGATACCACAACAAAGCAATGGCACAATCATTGAAGTTTTGTGGTTTTTTTTACTCTTTGTATCATCTTCATACACCAGTAAAAAATAAACTCTTTAATAAATAAATATATAATAAATATTTGCAAATTGAAAATGTATAAATAGGTCCATTCTTTTTAAAAATGTTCCAACTTGGTGTGGCATATTTTATAGTCCGTGGTCATCAGGATGTTGTATGTTTGTTGTTGTTTTGCTGTTGTTGTTTTACATGCGCTGCCATAACTCGCAAAATCATACAAGGTCCTCAGAATTTTCGAGGCAATAATCATGGCCAACTATGTCAGTCCATGTCTTCAACATGAAGTATCTATTTTTAATGTAACATTCAAAGTAAACATAATCCAAAGAGGTGAGGCACCAGCAGCAAACTAGGTGGAATTCCCTTTATCCAGAATTGAACTGATTTTTCAGCTTCCATGTACTGGTTAAGGATTGAGCCAGTGAACTGAACCAAGTAAACTTAATCCACTTACAAAGAGTGATCTTGATCTACTTCAAGTCAATTTTTTTCACTCTTCTTTCCAAATTTAATCTCCCAGTAAAAATCAGACAATAATATTCTGAATATCTTCCTTGCTTATTATTATTTAATGATGGGAACTATGAAAATAAAAGGACAGTGTGGTTTCATTCTTCAATAAAAACACTACCATGCTTCAAGTGTACATCAGTAAGTCCTTGTACAATTCTGGAACTCTTTCTGGGTCAACTGGTCTAGGCAAGAAATGTGTGAATTTTTGATGTCTTTTGGACCTGGCACCATCTCTTGGAGTTCCATCTTTGTTGAGTGCCACAAAATACCTTCGGCCAGTGTCTCCATGTTTATATATGTTAGATGAGTAGGTATTATACCAATTCTCTTCAAATTGCTCCCTAAAGATGCATTCAGAAGTTAGTTTCTCCTAAAAAGAAAGGAAGAAATGATAACCACTATTTTAAAAAAATCTTTGAAATAATTTTCTTACAAAAGCCTCAATTTTATCTTTTTATTTGTTTGCCTAAAAAGAAAGAAAAAATTATTTTTTAAATTTTGGTTGTATTCATATATTACCTAGAATTATTCCTACAAGGTGACTTCATCCAGCAGTTTAATTCAAAGAAATTTTAAATCAAATGTCATTTCCCAATTTTATTTTCAAATACTTAATAAATATTCTGAATTGTTCCATGCTCCATATTCTCACTTCTTGCCATCATCACCACCAAAAAAAACCCCTGTAATTTATCTTATTTCATCATTTGATGCCAAAGTTATATATATTAAGTCTCTGTTCTCAACATGGAATATTTAAGATTTCGCTAAGATCCACGTTCTGAATTCAAAATCATCATTCCAAATAATAAATTTTCTTATGGAATTTATTAATTGTTTGATAAGACATTCCCCATGATTAACTTCTATCTGATATATTACTATTAATTTAATTATAGTAAAACCCCAATGATTTCTCATCTTTTCAAGATGGACCATATATTGTCCTAAAGGACACACCGGAGTTGCTTATTTTTCCCCCGCACATACATGAAAATTATGTATATGTATTTTCTCTATTGTAATCCTACTTTTATGATCACTGAACGTGGAATTATTTTTCTCTTTGTGAAGAGTTGGTTAAAAAAAACTGGAAAATACAAATTTTACCTATACATAAGATAGATATTCATCTATTAATTGAATTATTGTAACCAATTTTCTTCAGTGTATATTAAGCTTCTAGCTGGATATTGGTCTCAATTGAAATTTTAAACAAAAGAAGTAACAGTGCCCCCAACTTAGTCATAAAAAGTAAGTTCTCTATGGAAATAGTTACAGAGAATTCAACTTTTAGAAGGGATTTCATGTTAGAAAAAGGGTGGGAAAGTGGCACATCTTACCAATTTTTTCCAAATTACAAATTCAATTGAATTTGCAACTACAAATTCAGTTTGCCTAGATATATGTGAAAATTTACAATGCTGTAGATTTTAATTTCTATATAACAATATTTCATATACTTCTCACAAACATTATTGATAGATATTTTAATCACAAAACAAGGTAGTCATAATTTCAAGAATTATAATAATAATAAAAATACGTACTGATCCATAAAGTTCTCCTTTGTCATTCATTCCAAGGTAAAGACCACTGTCCACACCTCTAATACTGACAAGTCCCACCGCCACACTGATGAATTCCAGGATACCTAAATTTATAAATAAAATAGTGATTTGTACTTATGAATGCACATATAACTAATAAAAAGCTTATAAATCATAGTAGTGGTTGTTGTAGTAGGCCAATGTTGATAAATATATTTATGTATACAGAAGTCCTTAATCAACTGAAAAGTACTATTCAACTATTACGAAATCCCACTTCTCAGATGGAAAAAAAAAGGACTAAAAAGGAAAAAAAGTGTTCATTGTAGAAGGGAATGAAACCCTAAACCGGACGAACCTGGGTTTGAATTCCAGTTCAGTGATTTACTATCGAGGCCCCAGGCAAGTCATTTGTCTTCTTTGAATTCCAATTTCCTTATGTGCACAACAAATGAAATGCCTCCCCAGAAGGAAAGGGGTGAGGATTAATGCATGTATGCATTCAACAAATAGAAGCTTTTAATATCATAAAATAAATATAATATGTTTGTTCCACTAGTTAATAATAACCTTTTTCTATTAGTTGTTTTGCTTTTGCTTACAATGAATCAAGTTCACCTTTTTCTAACAGGAGCATACTTCATATGGGTATAAAAGAGTTTTATAGTTTATAAAAGGCTTGAACTTATATTTTTTCATCTGGTCTTAAAAACAATTGCTTAAGATATGTAGGGAAGCCGGGCACAGTGGTGCATGCCTGTAATCCCAGCGGCTCAGGAGGCTGAGGCAGGAGGATCTCGAGTTCAAAGACAGCCTCAGCAAAATAGTGAGGCACTAAGCAACTCAGTGAGACTCTATCTCTAAATAAAATACAAAATAGGGCTGGGGATGTGGTTCAGTGGTCCAGTGCCCCTGAGTTTAATCCCCAGTACACTTCCCCGCAAAAAAAGATACAGGAAAGACATTATTATCCCTACTTTACAAATGAAGAAATTGAGCTCAGAAGTGTTTGTTGACTTGCCTAAGGTATTTAATGTTTGCAATTGATAGAACTGATACTTGAAGTTACATCTTCTGAAACCTAATTCAATGTTTCTACTCCAGAAGGCTGTTTCTTGAGGATCACACAGTAGTTTCAAAAATTTAAATTACAAAATATGTTATTTTTTTCTATGACATGGTTTTAAAAAAATAAACTGTATAGTTCACAAAAGTACAAAGACTTTACAATTCATTACATGTTATAGCCAAATATCAAGAGCATAGAATTCAGGTAGATTTTGCTATCATTAATTTTCTAGAGTCATTTTAATTTATCAATAAGAAATTAGTTTTGAAAACTTTCTACTTAGTACACTAATATACCACAGGTCAAAAAAAAATGTAATGCCTCACTCTGCCTTATTCTTTCTTTTTAACTAACCTTTGGACTAATGCCTTTGTCTAGTTCTTCCCCTTAGCTGGAAACAGTTTTCACCACAGTTTCTATGCTTGGATCTGCCTTCCTCAATAACTTTCTACTTTCACCCCTTCACCCATCTTAAGCTCTACAAACAGTATAAATGTGTACCATTTAGCTTGACTCTTGCTTTTAAGTAATTTCTTGATTTATTGTATGGGTTCCTGTTTGGACACGTGATACTCCCAAGGCCAAAGGAAAGTACAGAATCTGACTATTTACTGATATGGTGGTCTCTATTCTATCCAAAGCTTAATTCACTCTGGCAGAAACATAGATTCTTAGCAAGACAAACTAGCTCTTTCAAACTGTTAGGAGATCATGTAGAACACTAGAGCTATCAAGAATCTTAGAGCAACAATACACTACTAAATAGTCTATAGGTGGCTTGAAAGAGCCAGTGTCCTTAATTGAAAGCCAAAAGCAGACGAGAAGATAAGATGTAGCAGAAAGATCTAGACTCCATAAGATAGCCCTCATATTGACAATTGTATAGTGGGGGAGTAAAAGAGAATCAAACCCCTGTCAAGCTCATCAATGAAAGACTCTGTTAGTAACAAAATACAGACCTAAAACATAATTGATATGAAAATATAATCAATGCCATTTTATCCAGGCTTTAGTTACAAATGTGTAATTACTTCAAATCATATTGAATATTTGTTAATTAAAAGTATACTATAGTTGATATACATGCAACTTAATTCCCTTAAGTATCTGATTTATATTAAGATACTCTTGTCTTTTAAAGTACAGGAACTGCTTAACTAATTAGAATGTAGAATAGAACCAATTTTCAAGTATGATAGATTGTAAGTTTAATTTCCAGATATGTTAATTATATTACATCTCACATAGTATGCCTTTCCTGAAAAACTAAATGGTAAACCACCTACATTTCAATCCTCCCCTCAATATAATGCTGTAACCTTTCCAAAAAACATGTAATTGTAAAAAGAAAAAAAAGGATTACATGTGTTCTTAGAATAATTATACTCAATAGTTTCAACTTTATTAAACAGCATTCAAAACAGTTTACATAACCATGCATAAATAATGGCTCATAAAACTGATGGGAAAAAGGTTATGTGTTTTCATGTTCCTCTTAAAGATTTTAGCCACACTTTATAATTCTGATCCTTTTTCTCCTCAAGGAAATAGTATACCACAGAGTAATTTGTAATCGTTTGATTCCTAAATGAGATTTGACAAGTCTTTCTTATTTATAATATGAGGTGGCAACTAAGCTAATTCCTTTACAAAGGGTGGACATGAAAAACTTTCCTTAAGAGGTAATCACAGATTTTAGATAGATTTTCTAATGCCCAGTGTCCCATAAAAAGACTTGGAGGTACTTTGTCTTTCTGGTATCATTTTCAAAGCCAGCCTTTTTTTAAATCATAATAAACAGGTGAGTCAACCCACAATGCAACCACATCAGACAAATCTATGGAGAATAGGGGAGAATAAAGGAAAAGGCTTTAAAAGAATATGTTTGATCTTAAGCTGAACTTTTTTTCTTAAAGAAATGATTCCATGTTTACATATTAGGTAAAGTCTTCCCACTGTACTTCTGTACTCTCTGCTATAAATAAAGAGCTAACTCAGATAGGAAATTATTTAACCTCACTGAGACCTCTCTATGTTCTATTGATGTGGTTTTGAAATTTAAAAATATAGAATTCTGAGTTTGTAGTTGATCATAGCCAAATTAGTATAGAATTATCAGAAATGGTTTTTAATATCTCAAATAGCCATACTTGAGTTTTGTTAAAATTCTTACTTTGATGACACAGAAATGAGTATAAAATAAAAAGAGAAAAATACTAATTAGTAATTGAGGCACTAGCAAAAGAAGACAAACACAGAGAGAAGCATACAATGTTATACATGTTGGATATGAATTTTCTTCTCACCTATACACCCTCTAGTAAATTGTGATGTCTAAGCTATTGAAGGCCACTAGGATGCAGTATAATGTACCTAAAGAGGCTGTTCATTACTTTAGACTACCAAACTAATCTGGGTTATCTTTCTTTTATGTAACAGTGAATATTTTGTTCCAACATACAGTCTCCCACCATAGCATGACTTAAACCATCACAAACTGACTGAAATCGTCTAAATAATATTTTTTCAATTACTAAGTAATTATATACAATTTTAGTTTAAAAACATGCTAGCAAGATGATAATTCTAATAATGCAATATCCACTCATAAAGGAATGGATTTAAACACGACTTGAATGAATATTATCAAGTCTACAAATATGTATTAATCTCCTCAAATTGAGTCAATCTTATAAAGAAACACAAAGCAGAAGGGACAACTCTTGTCACTGAGGTGATTACATTTGAATTAAAAACTCCTTTAAGGGAGAATTTCGAAGGTTACATTGTGTATCACAGGGGGGAAATCTGTATATTACCAAAGCTTAACTTCTACCTGCTCTACCTATAAGAGTTATCACCTTTTATGTCCATTTTTAAACCTTTCTGATAGATGGAAGATTTTTCTGTAATAAGCAGAGGTAAAAGGTAAAAGAGCTGAGCTACCTGGTGTCAGCAAAGTTCTTTAGAATCAGAATCTCAGCTTCCTCAATTAAAATAAATAAATACTTTCCAAAAGTGACCCCAGATTGGCCACTAGGTCATGACACTCTTGACTCATGGTCAATGGGAATTTGGAAGAGATCAGTGGAAGCTGCAAACATATGGTTTTTAAAAAGTTAATTTTCTAAGCCTTTAAGTGCTACCAAATGACCACCACATGCTTATTTCTACATCTAAAGTTACCAATGTCCCTTAAATGGAGATTTACACTTCTTCAAGTTTAAATGAGTACTACAAGTCAAAAGAGAAACAAGATCATAAGAACAAGGGAATAAGGACAAGATAGAAGAGAGGGCCATCTATAAATGAGATTCTTAAAGAGTTTCATGGTGCAAAGGAAGGGAAAGGAGAATGTGTTGTGCTTATACAGAACTGTAAATGTTATCTTTTTTTCAATTTGATGAATCTCTCCAATGATGCCACAAATCAGATAATCAAAATTCCTTGAGAGTGATAGCAAGTTAACTGATATAATGAGAACTTTAGCTATGAGGAAAAAATCCTGGGATGTTATAACCAGAAAGCACCTAATTTAACTCATGGTTGTACAGACAAGAAAAATAATATTCATACTGAGGAGGGCACTTACTAGTTATTCAATCGTTAGAAAGTAATTAACATTATAGACTTTGCAAATCTATCACAGGCTGTCTTGATCTTTGCTTGTTTCTTTTAACCCCTTCTTCTCTGAGGCACTGCCAGGGGTATTCTGAAACCTATGTGTTCCCACCCATATCTTCTTTCGCTTCCCCATTTCCTCTTACTTAAGGTCAATACCAAGATCACTGCTTTTCAATTTCGCAATTTCTAAAGAGGTACTGGGCTGAAGTACTAGGCATGCTCAGTAGCTTTTTTTTTTTTTTTGGAGGGGGGGGCTCACTCAAATAGAACTCCAGCTCAGAGAACTGCAGCCAGGTGAGCTAGACAGTAGCAATGGTGCCCATGGAAAGTTAATCTGTTACTTCTTCAGGTGAACATTTACAGTTTTCTAGAGGTAGATACTCAAATGCGTGCATCCTGTGCAAGGGCAACCTGCAGAGCAGTAGCCACGGGTGGATAATCAACTCCATAACTGCAGAACATGCTTAAAGAAGAGGAATACTTCCTGTTATTAATGTTCAAAAAGTGGATGGTACTAGGGCAAGTGTGAAAGGACACAGAAGAAAAATAACAGGAATTTTAAAATAATAATAAACTGCATGGGAGGAAAGAAGTACAAGAAAAAAAAATTAAGATTCTGAGTCCAGGTCTTGGTGTTCCAGGCATTCAAAAAGGCAGAATAGAAAGATTCACCCAGACCACGCATCCTTTCTCCTCCTGCCCCAGCATCTGGAGCTGCAAGCCTGCTAGAGGCTACAGATGCAAGCAGATAGGAAAAGTCCTTCCTGCCCCTGAGCTAGGTCGCCCTTCAGCCTCAGCCTGCATCTTGCACTGGATGGGTCTAGGGGAACACTGGGTTGCTCGCAGTCCTGACACCCTTGACAAACGTGGAGGGAGGTACAAGGGGAGGGGAAGAGGAGCCAAGTTTGGGGAACACAGGCGGGACGCCAGTACCTACCGAAGAGGCTGTGGTCCTGCCGAGTGCCCTGAACGCTGCCATCGGGCAAGATCTGCAGGTGGAAACCGGTGCGACAGTAGAGCTGCCGGCGGCGCAGGATGCCATGCAGGTGCGCCAGCTCCGCAGACCCTGGCCCTCCGCGGGCGCCCCGCTCCGCCGCTCCCCGGCGCTCGCCCAGCAGCGGCGGCCGTTCCCCGGCAGGAGGCAATAGGAAGTGCGAGCCCACCTGCTGGCCCAAGCCCTCCAGGCCGCCCAGGAAGCCCCCAACTTCAGCTAAGGGAGCCATGGAGAGGCCTGAGGGAAAGGGTGAAGATCCGGAAAACAAAAGACCCCCCCAAAAAAATATGCAGCGGAGTGTCCAGGGGGATGGAGAGAAATTAGAGTAAAACAAGCGCAAAAAGTTAAGGCCAGGTTACTCCTGTGAGGTCGATTCAGGGACTGTGCACTGAGAATGCAGGGAAGCTCTCACTGTCTTGGAGCGGTCTTCTCTCCTTGGGTAGGTGAGAGCTGGCTGCTGGCTTTGCAGAAACATCTGTAGGTGCCGCTGCCAGTACTGGGCTGCGACTGGGGCTGGTGCTGAGGCTGGGGCTGGGGCCTGGGGGCTGGGGCTCCAACTCCGCAAACTGATCAGATCAGAGTCCTGTGTACATACACACCGAGTATATATGCGGGTCCTCTTGACATATGCTAATCAAGTCCTTTCATGCGAGCTGGGGAGGTTGGTTCTGTTTGAAATCTTAAACCGACCTCTTCTCAACACGTTTCTGCTCTTCGGAAGTGACCAAAGGGGACCCTTGATGATTCTATACCCATGCACTCTTCAAAAATCATTCCTGCACTTGCCAAAGTCAAACAGCAAATTCGGGGAGGCTCAGTGGAGGTCCCTCTTTGAGGTTGTCTTTGGGACATGGATGATGCTGTTTGGCTGCTGCTGTGCAACCTACTTTGATGTGAGCCCCTTTTCAGTGATAGATGGCTGCGAAAAGGAGCCCAGTTTGGCAGTATACAGAAAGGGGGGGTGCAGAAAAGGAGGAGATGAGTGAGGGAAAAAAAGAGAGGAGGAGAATTGTGTTTCTTGGGAACTGCTGGGAGCCTGCAGTGGACAGGTGCAAAGAAAGGTAAAAGAGGGAGAAGGAAAAAGGGCGTTACCTGAGGCTTAGACCTGCCCAGACACACATGAAAGGAAAATCAAAGCTTTGACAGTTTAACTCACTAATTTTAAAACACTAATAAAATGTACAAGCATTACTCTTTTCTTTTATCATTTAGATGGGGGATTTTCTTTACATAATCAAGGTTAGGTTAGGAACACCCTCCCTCCCTTCCCAAGTTCTCTTTAATGTTTATCTTTACTCAGATAGCATATGATATAACTAAGACTGATTTATATCTAAATGGAAGTTTCAAATTGTATGCTAAGTTTTTGGTCATTTAATTAGCATAATAAAATAGCAAAACATACTCATGAATCAAGGGATAAAAATATATACACTGAAAGAGATGGTCTATATTCTTATATTTTGCCATGAAGAGAAAAATGAGTTTATAGAATAGTGACACCAATGATGAGCAGTCTTTGGGGCTCTTATCCAATGTAAGAGCACATCTAAGTTCTTCTTAGATACCTTTTCCTAAAGGCTAGATTTTGTTGTTGTTGTTGTTGTTGTTCCAATTTCAATTACAAAGTCTTTAAAAAAATCAACAACTAAATGGAAACAGTGTTGAATCTTGATGCATTTTGAAACTTCAAAAGTTACTGGTAAAATCTGAGCATGCCTATACACATTTGTAAAACAAAAGCCACTGAAGTGAGGAAGTTAAAGATTCTTGTCCATTTGGGGAAGGAAGGGGGCATGGGGTAATTAATGATGGTAGAATGTGATGATCATTACTATCCAAAGTACATGTATGAAGACACGAATAAGAATTATAATTCATTCTGCTGTCATACATAAATTAAAATTTACATAAAAAGATTGATGTCCATTTAAACATTAAAACTTTGGTTTTGTACCAATAGTTAAATTTGAGATCCTTCTGTTAAAATTTTTCAGTGGCTGAGGAGTTGAGAATCATTCAACAGATTTATGCTTCCCCTGAGCAAAAAGTTTTAGAGAATCACTCAAGATTAGTTTTTTAGGCATGTTTCATGGAGCTCAGTTGGATTTGACTGGTTTATTTTATTTTCTCTGAAGGTTTTTTTTTTCTAATTATTTGGCAGGTGTTTTAAAGTAGGTAAAGTTACACCTTTTCATCACTGCAGGCCTAAGTACTGACCCTTGTGCAACCAAGTTATAAAACAGTCCTTAAAGTAAGTGATTTACTATTGATAGATATGAAATAAAACAAAAACACTGGCTAACACAATAAACAAAAAATCACTTTAGAAACAGTATGCTGCAAAGTCTGTTTTAAAGGTTGTACCAGGTAAATGTCATATCATTTCACCTTTCAAATAATAGTAGTCTGTCCTGTGGTAGGACCCCCAAATCCACCATAATTAAGATTTCAAAGCACATCTGTGTAAACATTATCACATCAGTGTAAAACATCAACCAATGAGCTTTTACTTTGAACCAAATCTTCTTAATTGCAGTGTTAAATCAAAGAAACTTAGATCAAAGTTGTGTGAATCTCATAGCAGGATAACTGAAGTAGCCAGAACATACATTGATCACTTTTAAAGAGGAGATACTTAAAGGTTTTAAACTTAGATCAAGTGCCTTTTAAAGAGGTTTATTTCAAGGTCTAAGTTCTGTGCAACATATAATGCTGTTAATTATTCTGTAATGAATATATGTTATTGTCATTTGTCTTAGAGCTACTAGTTTAGTCTATAAAATATTTCCTCACATGAACACTTTAAAACCTGCTGTTATTGTGCAATTTATAGCTCTTAGACTTTTTAAATCTCTTGTACTACACACACACACACACACACACACACACACACACACACACACACGAAATTCTTCACTCAACAAGGCCCATCTATTTTAATAATAGGACTACCTTCTCTTTGTACACCTTAGCATTTTTATATAAATTCGCTTATTTTGATCACCACAATAACCATACGAAATAGGCACGTCCACTTTTTTGAGAAAAAAAATTGTACTGGATTCTGTCTCATTTCTGTCCAACATCCCAGTGCATTTGACTTAAACTCTTAAAATGCCTCTATTTCTTCTTTTGTAAAATGAAAAAAATATAACTTTTGCCTAGTTTACTTTGTCTAAGGTTGCTATGAGACTTACATATGACAATATATAGAAAAGAGTTCTTAAAACTATGAAATTTTCTGAGCATATAATGTGCTAGACAACTATTGCTGGGAAATTTTTTACTTCATAATTTAGCAAATGTGATTTGTTTGAAATGCAAAATAAGTCCTTTTTTCCCAACCTAAACCTTTAATGTGTAAGTTTTGAATGGTGCTTAATGCCATTTTATAAAGGACCAGAATAGAAACAGAAAGATAAGGATTTCTTTTGTTTGCTGTAGTCATGTGACAGGAAAAGATAACACTAAAGAATTTTTTTGCACATACTGTGATGATATCATGGGAAGTTAAATAATTTTGAAGAGTGTTTTACAAGAGTACATTATTCAACTTTTAAGTATACACTGCAATCTAATCAACTTTACCTATACTTCCTAGAGACCACACTTGCCGTGCTGTTATACAAATATGTGATACAATTTCTACTTCCACAAAATGTAGTTACAGTTTTCCAGACCATATAATCCTATATAGCTTTCCAGTTAGTGTATTGTCATGGATCTTTGTTTTTACAAAGATCTTATGAGAAAGGATAGAATACCTTTTATGCTTCTATGTGTTTAACTCTAGAAAAAGAACTGATTTTAAAGTCATGATTTATGCCCCCAATAAAATAAAGTCCATTTGTACAATTTTATTAATTACTTGTAATTATAATGCATATAATAGTGAATTATATAGCTGGCAAAAAATTATAAAGATCTCTATGAACTAATATGGAGAATTTTCAGGACACATTGTTAAAAAAGCAAAGTACAAAAAAGTACACAGAAGTCAGTAGTATGTTGACTTTTCTGTAATAAAGAAGGAAAATAAGAAACTTCTAGGTATGTATGCTTATTTAACAAAACTAAACACAGGATGGATAAACTAAAAACTAATACAATTGGTTATGCAGTGAATGAAGTAAAAGAGAGGAGTAACACTTTTCTGAAAACTTTTTATAGAGTTTTGAATTTTGGAGAAATGTTCATGTTTTACGTACTTTTAAAAGTAAAATAAAATAAACTAGGATAAGGTGGAGAAATGGAATAAAACCAGAAACATATGAACTGTATTAAGTAAATAACATAACCACACAGAAGGGAACAATATTATTTCTTAAAAAATAAGTAGCTTTCAAATACAGTTCTTTGATTATATAATCAAGGTCTGAATAGCAAAATAAACAAACAGATATTGAACTTCAGTGAGAAACATTGTTTTTCTCAGTGGGAGGGGTTAGAGTTTGAGCATTGTAGGATTGAGCAAGTGAATAAATACACAGAGGCTAATGAGAGCTAAGAACTTCATTGTTAGAGAATGGAGTTCAAATATGCAAAGGGGGAAGACTAAAGTGAACCCTGTGGTGTTGAATTAGAATTGCATTAGAATTAGAATTGCAGTTGCATTACTAGCACATGGCATATATGAATGTACTTGCATTTCAGTTCTGTCCACACAAAGAGCCTAAAAGAAAACATGCCAGGGCAATAAGCACAGCAGGGGACTAGATTTTGTTCTCTCAACTCAGTTTCCTACCAAAATGACCCAGGGAATTTTAGGAAATTTGCTAGTCCAATAATTAGAGCATCTCTTTGTGCCAGAAAGCAAAGAAGTACTCAAAAAATGATTAAGACATAAGAAAGGGACATAAACCAACTTTGGGACCATTTGAGCATTCAAATTAATAATGATAGGAACAAGATACTTATGGAATAAAATAAGAATATTTGAGTGCAATTGTTTAAATAAACAACTAACCAATCAAATAAGGAAAAAAGGAAAAACTTTTTTCTTATGGTAGAATACAGCTAATAAATATGGAAAGAATGATGGAAGTCAAAAAAAGAGACCATTTTGCATCCATCATAGGATTTTTGCTTGTCCAGATAAAAAATTACCAATACATGCTAAAACTAGTGGTCAAAAGTTTGTTGAAAACAACAATAAGAAAGAGAGGAGAAAAATATATATAAAGTCTGATGAAAAAGAGTCTTGATTACTCTGCAGTTACTGTTACTAGTGAATACTACCTTACCAGCTTAATAAAGATAAACAACTATGTGACAAACCAACACCAAGTGCCTCTTGATATCCTAGGCAAAAATATCATATTACTTTTGTGTTGTTCCTGGCAAAATACATAATGTGAATCTAATCATAATGACACAGCAGATAAACCCCAAATGAGCAGCATTGTACAAAATGAGACTGCCCTTTCACAAAATAATAACAGCAGTT